GTCAGGTCTTTAATCGAGCCTGACTTGAGTCTTATAAAGGAAACAATAATTTACATATCAGATAATCTAATCTTAACCTAATGTATGTTGAGCATTCAGTGGGCGAGCGGGATGTTGAGCTCGGCGAATATATATATATTCTTCGCGAAATAGTAATAGAGTCTAAACAAGTTTCACTTTGTCTCAAGAGGACACTCCGGAACATTTCGAGAGTTAAATTGATGGATTAAGTTTAAACATTATTAGGGGGTAAAGAAAAAAAATGCACTTCCTGGCTATATGGCGTCTACTATGCAGACTGAATGGCCAGCTTTAATAATAATAATTATTATTATATACAAATGTACTTTTATCAAAGACAATTTACATATATTTTTATATATTTTTCCCCAATCGATAAAAGAACATATAAATTGATGCATTTTTGAGATCAATGTGTGTTAGCTTTCTCAATTTTTTTTTCCTTTATTTTATACAATTGTAAAAAAAAAAAAATATGTAAACTTTTAATAAGTGTTCTTCTCGACATGAAAAATCTCACTTATCAAGAGATTACTGTATATAATATATATTTATACATATATATTTATATAAATTATCACTTGACCATTCAACCCTTTAAGTTTTCGCATTATTGATTATAAAAAAAAAATTTATTCAAAATCTTTAACAGAAAATTAAAAAAAAAATCATAGTGTGGATATACTAGACACTTATGGCACGGGGGAAAGTCTAACATTAACAATATTTAACAAAGTTCCATGCAAAATGGCAAATGCTCTCGTATCACATTTTCTCCCATTTTTTGTTCTCTTTTTTCAATAGTATATTGATTTTCGTTATGAAAAAAATCTCCATTATTACGATTTTAATCACACTATGAATTTTGTGACTGCGAGAGTATAATAATAATAATATTGAATAGAAATTATTAATGTATAAAAAAAATCCTTTCTACATTCTTCAAAGTATAAAGTATATATATATATAATAGGTTGCGAGTTTTGCCTTTTTTTGTTGTATACATATACATATATATAATATGGATTTATATATTATATAAAAAACAAAAACTCTAGAATAGAAACTAATTTCTACAAATATTTGTAAACAAAAATCTCTGACGAAAACCTATAAGAATATCGTAATCAAATAATTATAAAATATATCAAGACTACAGTATACAAAATTATAGGAATAATAATAATTATCATATAATAATAAACAACTGATTTTTTTTTATGATATCTACAATTTTGCCTATTAAAACAATAGGCCATATATATAATTTTCTAACATTTCATTCTCAATTCGATCAGAGCCGAGTGCAAAGTATATTCCCCCTCGACATTATGAGGTTTTTAATATATATTTTATATTACCAGAAAAGGAAGATAAGTTTTGTAAATAAGCGCAATATTTTGAAAAATGCGACAGATTTTTTTTTTAATACAAAGAAGAAGCAAAAAAGCATTGTTTGGTTATTTTGGCCATAAAAAGGGGTAACAACTATTATCTGTAAAAAATATATAATATCTGAATGATAAATAACTGATTTTTATATATTCCCTCTGCATTATTACTTTTTTTTTGAAATATTTTCAATTTGAATTTTAATCTTTCGTTTTAAATTCAAACCAAAAGAAAGAAGAAAATTTTTTGAAAAATTGAAAATATTTCTAAAAATAGTAATGTGATTTAATTTCGCCTTAAAGTACGCAACGAGAAACACAGCCTGGAGTGGGGATAATGAGAGTAAAGAAGACACGGAGACGTTTCTTTTTCACTCACATCTCCCCACTCCGACCTTCGACTCCGTCTCTCAGAAACTAAAACCACAAAATGTAAACGCATTTACTTCAAAACAATATTAAAATATTTTTATTTTAATTCTATTTTTTTTTAAAAAAAAGTGTTATCAGTTCTGCTAAGAAAATGACCTAGCTTGTGAAATATAAGATATTTTTTTCAAAAATAAAATAAGTACGCGCAAGTCGTGTTCATAAAAAAAAACTGGTTATTTTAAAAAGGAAAATATTACGAGTATTCTGTTTCATTAATAATGTATTATAATTACACATTAACAATGTATTAACAACAAATAAATCAGAAACAGATTTTTTATATTTAATTTCAATTACAATAAAGTAATTGAAAAATAAATATCCAACAATTGAACAATAATTAATAATTAATAATAATAAGTATAAGAAAAATATAAAATTGTCGTAGTATTTTCCTTCAAGTTTTTGATGACTTGACAGAAAAGAAAAATGATTGCTACATAAATTCGTAGCACTATAAAAAATAGAATTTATTTGAAAACATTCAGGTAACACCATTTTTAATAATAGTTACGAATGCGCTTAAAAACTTGTTTGTTTAAAATTCACTGGGTAGTTTTTTTTTTAATTATAATAACGTTTAAAATAAAATTCTGAAAATAGTTCTATTTCACAATATATATATGTATGTATATATGTAATAATTGACACGAGAAAAATTATTGAATATTTAAAAAACTGAAATGTAAAAAAAAATTATATAATGTATATTCAAATTCCTCGTGGAAAAAAAACAACTAATTCTATATAATATATGGAGCGATCAGAAATTAAAGACAGCCTTGTTAAAATTTTGATTATAATATTGCACGTCCCTATCACAAATTTTTTTTAAATAACAAAAATATTGTTTTCATTTTCAAAATTGTTTTATTTTAATCAAATTTCTGATATCTCCACGTTGATTTTTTGTAAAATTCTTTTTTTTAGAAACAAAAAAAAAATGTTTTTGCACTGGGAATCTTTTTTTGAAAAAAAAAATCATTAACGTTAATATATATGTATTCTGTATAAGGAAATAATTTATCATAAATGATAATGATGTTAATTAATATACATATATATATATATATATATTTATATGAGGACATGTTAAATTCTATCTATTTAATATATCGAGGTATACGGAAATCGGCAAACGTATCTTCATTACGGAGTTACGTGTGTATTAGTCATATAAATTGTGTTAACACTTGAAATTTGTGTATAGAATATAAATGTATAATATGGTATATAGTGAGCATTCGTTCAGCGGTACTGTGATTTAAAATAATAAAGAAAAACGATAATACATAAAACTAAAAATCGACGTATAACAAACACTCCTCATATCACACCGAGGGCTTGCCTAAAAAAAAAATTGAAAAAAAAGTATCGCTCTTTAATGTATATAGTCTTTTTTCCCCCTTTGGCCTTGCGCTACCAACAGAATGCATCTCGAGTATGGCCAACCAGTCAGACGGGATTTAGCTACCGAGGTTTCGTCCCATTCTCATCGTTACATTTAATGCATCAGAGCGAGAGAAAAAACACATTGGGTGAGGTGCATCCTGTGGAAATTGTTAAATTCGCGAGCTCATTTTTCAAATAGCAGTCAGAAGTAATTCATTCTTTTTTCAAAACAAAATTTTTCTAAAATCTTTCTATTTTTATTTCATATATACAATTTCGCAAAGTTATTATAGTCTCCGTTTTTAATGTATTTAGTTGAAAAAGATAAAATAAACTTTTATTTGCTTCTTTTACGAGTTATTTAGACATTCTTAATGTACGAGAAAGAAACAGAGAACGTACTTTCTTTCTCTCATCGGCAGAAACGACGCTACTGCGCATGAACCATTTAGAGCATGCGCAATTGCGTTTCATAAACAGATAATGAAAAAAAAGATAATATTAGACAGGAAACAATTTTTTTTTTGAAAAAAAATGATACCTCCTGACTGAATACAAAAGAAGAAAAGCGTAAAACGTGTAAGAGAAGAAAGACTTTTTTTTTAGAGCCAGGATCACATTGTCAAAGCGCTATACTTTGCTGCTTGGCGCCTTGCATATATTGTATGTATATATATTTATATATACATACATATATATATATAGATTATAATACGCGATAAATTTCAATAATAATTTAATATGAGTCGTTTAACGTGACAATAATTATGACACGATTTGTTTTTTTCTTTTTTTTTTTTTTTTAATGTTTTAGTACTGTATCAGAGTATCCATAATTGCAGTATTTTTTTATATAATAATATACCTTCCTAAAATACGATCAAATCACTGCCACGAGCAGCAATTCCGAGGCACTACGAACAGGCCATAATAAATATGGCCGCACAATTATCATTTTTTCGAATCTCTTGTCTAAATTAAAAAGACTATATAGACTGCCTAATAAGTAATTATAATATATATATATATATATTTATATATAGTTATATCTCATGTACTAGGTATAATATACAATAATTAGAGAGATCACACGTCTTAAATGTAGAAATTTAAAAGACTATCTCTATTTACGTAAATTTTTTTTTAAGTATTGCCACGAAATGTACGGGGTGATGATAATAAATTGATGAGCGGACAGTCAGGGTCCTCAAAAAACTTTGAGCTAATCTATCGACTATATACTACATTTTTTTTATTTCTACTCTACAAATGTCTCAGCCTTCTTTCCACATTCCCTCCTCATTCGTTATTATTTTTTTGCATATCTAGTTATATCAGCACCATTCTGATTTTTTTTTAACCAATCAAAATATCGTCATGTAGATATAGACTAATCAGTTGTATAAATATACATTCGAATATTATTATAATAGTATACAAGAGTCATACCTTTCTTTCTATTGTATATCATCTTCAACATATATGTCATAACGTGAGCTCTTGGCATAATGAGGGTCCGGTGGCGTCAACCTATTTTTTTTTTTTTTTTTTTTTTCATCATTTTGTTCTTGCTCTCTTTTTGCGCGCCATCAGTTCTTTACGACCCTCTTTATATATATAATACCTTCCTGGTTTCGATTCTACGGACGTCCCCGCATATACTCACGCACTCACTCATATTATTTCTTTTTTTTCACTTTCATTCTCAGTCGTTCCTTTTCCTCTCGCTCTTTTTTTTCTTGTAGGATTTTTTTTCATTGTCTCTCTCTCTCTCTCTTTCTCTCTCTCTTTCTCACTTTCTTATTTTCTTTTTTTTTCATTCAACAAAACAATTAGATAACGTTTTACATATTTACAGGCGTCCTCCTTCTCGTCGCATCTTCATCCTTCTCCAAAGATTCATATACTCAACTTGACTTTTCAACACTTTAAAACATAGGCAAGTTAAATATTGTATCACAATCATTTCAGTCTGGTCGAAATCGAACATGTTCAACCCGTTTGGCGAGAGAAACACATTGAAACGGTGTGTGTGTGTGTGTGTGTTTGTGTATATATATGTCTGTGTTTTTTTTGTATGTATTTGTTGATGTACCAAACTTGGTACTTTGTAACTCTTCAAGTACGTACTTACAAAAAAGGAATCACGTCGATCTTCTCGAATTAAGTGAGTAGACTTTATTTAGTATAGTGCATAGAAAATCGTATTTTTTCCCAAAAATTTGTGTATTCAATATTTTTACCAAATCGTCACATTTATCATTTAAAAATGATTTTATATAAAATTTTTAAAGTGATTTTAATTTTTATTCACTATATTTCCAATTAGGATTATTATTGAGTATATTTTTGAAAAAAAAAACATGCCAATCCGACCTCCATATCTTTTTCTTTAAATTATTTAACATTTGCAAAAAATTATCAGGATCAGAATTTTAGCATAAATTAAATTCTAATATTTTTTTCGTTTTTTTAATGGCAAAAAATTTTGAACACAGAAAGAGTCACGAGAATTAAGAAAGTGATTTTCATAAACAAAATATTCCGTGTAAAAATTCCCCTACCAAGGCTCCAGTAGGGAATGAAACGTCACATCTGATCAAAGCCAAATCAGGGCGACCAGAAAATGTGGATTTCCTAATCAGGGCCACATCAGGCGCGGCGTTTCATTTCCTAATAGGGCAGCCTGATCCGGCCCCGATCTAGGCCTTTGGCAAAATTTCTGCGCGGGATGTTAAAATTGCCAGTCCATATAGGAAAGCTGACTAAATAAATTAAGATTATTTGTCCCAGCAGTCAAGTGTTCGTTTGAATACCTACAGATGGTGTTACTATCGTGAGTCACCATAATTTCTTTAATCAAAACGATCTCTATTTTACCATTCAATGTATTAATATTCCAGAATGCCATTAATTTCCTAATTCAATCAAAGACCTTGAAAGAAAAAAAATCAAAAAATGATTTGACAATTTTCCGGAGTCATACAATTTCTGCAACTTTGTTTCATGAAATTGTTTAATGATCACATAAATGCATCTATTTCAGTGAATGATTTATAGAATCTTGTATACATATCTAGTCATTTTCATATATTTATATATTTAAGGAGACGCTATAGTAGCTGTCGTAAATATTGTCATAATAAACTTGAGAATTGCAACATGTGAATGAGTGCCAAGAAATGGCACTTGAAATAGAACAGAAGTCATTCACCTATAGTGATGCACATTTTTTTGACAAATAATAATAATAATGAATCAGTGATGCCAGAATAATTCCCATTCCACATAGCTGGGAAATCATCATTGGTGAAATTTTTCCCAATTAGAAATTGATTTTTGCAATAAAAATGATGTCGTGACTGATTTCTAATTGGGCCAGAGATAATGGAACTAGAGATATTTCCGATATCACTGAAAATTATTCTAGCGATCTATAAAACTCATTGGAAACGTCTTCCAGTAAGTTTTGGTGTCAAATATGATGAAATCATGAAACAACGTTCTTGATGATATGGAAGTCAGATGTGTATTTAAGTCTACTCACCCTTGAGGTGTAAATTGACGGATGTTCGAGGGCAATCGTACGCTAATTGTATATCGTTGATTGCCTTACCTTTTTATCTCGGCACGCAGAGAAACTAAAAGTAACATTATATTTTGTTTAAAAAAAAGAATGAGAAGACTTATTTAAATGCACGATAATTGTCACGGATAATGTTGCTGGAGCGGCTGGCATCTGAGCGACGGGTCTGACGACGATCCGGCCTCCACATCGGGGCCGAAGCAACGCTGAAATCTCAGCGGTATTCCTGCTTGCTAGTAGGCGGCAGGATGGACGGTTAGTCACTGTGGCGGCAGCCCCGTTGGAGGTTTAAATTCACCGGTGACAGCGACAACATTGGTCTGCCCTGGAAATTGGGCCGTTGAAACTGGTGGTTGATGATTAAATGATGGTGCATAGCACTGAGGGAAATAGAGTTCTGGTTTAACAACAGCCGGCGTTAAACCACGTGACACTGTCACTGGACCTAATCCTGTTGGCACGCCACTAGGTAATTTTGTATCACCAGTTGAATTCCGTCTTGCTTTAGAAGCATGAGGATTCATATGGTTGTCTATGTGTTTTTTGACTTCTGGTTCAGTTGCAAATCGTCGCCTACAATTTGGCATTGGACAACAAAATGGCCTATCGCCTTGATGTGTTCGCGTATGTTGATCCAAAATGGCCTTTTGCCTAAAATCCTTCCCGCACTGTTGACACTTGTATGGTTTTTCGCCAGTATGAATACGAAGATGTTGATTGAGAATGGTTCGTTGCCTGAAATTTCTACCACAATACACGCAACCATAAGGCTTTTCGTTTGTATGAATACGTAAATGTTGTGTCAAATGTGATTGTTGCCTAAATCTTTTGCCACATTCGGGACATGGATAGGGTCTCGATTCAATGTGTATACAGCCATGTTGTAGAAGAGTTGATTTTTGTTTAAATTCCTTTTGACATATGGGACAACGGACATAAAGTGGCATACCCGCTGATCGACCATGTTGTATAACGTCCGGTAAACAACCTTTCCCACCACTTTGTTGTTTAATGTATTGAAGAGCACCGAAACCACCGGTACCAAAAACAGCGTGATTTCCACCTTTTGGATCCTTGAAATAGGCAGGATATTGTGTTGAATTAGCATCAGGCGCTGGACTAAATGCACCCGATTGCGTATCATTATCGCCAAATGTTGATGCTACTTCCTCTTTGCCTTCTTCAGGTGGAAATGGCACGTCCTGTGGCCATAGTGTCGGTGTCATTCCATTTTTGAAGATGAGATGTGGACTCACGTCTGTAATAATAAGGAATAAAATTTAAAATACCAATTACAATTATTGCTCATCATTTTTAGGGAATTACAAAATATTAGTTTGTTTTTTTGAAATCAATAATGTTTTTAGTGGCGTTTCTTTTGTCCCGAGTATATTATTACGAAAAAAAAACAGAAGTGCATTATATCTGAGCAGAAATCAAAAATTTCAAAGAAGAAGGCTAAAAAATGTTAAAAAAGAATTTTTTTTTTACAAACATGAAGGGAATATTGTTGGCACGCGTTCAGAAAGTGACGACGAAAGACAAGAGCAGACAAATTGAGGAAGAGTTATTATTAGTATGAACTGAAGTTAAAGGGAGTTTTAGCATTAACCATGTTAGACAAGAGAATTTATACTGAAAACGAAACTCTTATTGTGGAAAATTTTTGATTTATTTTACATTCTGCTCAGTAATTCGAGGCAAGCACATCTCTTATACAGTTCCTTTCTCACGATCACTCGGTATTATGACAAAGATTAAGATTCAGAGGCCATAAAGGCAAGCAAAAGAGAAACAATATGAGATACAGAAAAGGAAAAGTAAATAGAAAACCTTGATATACTAACGATAAGTACAAGTAGAATCTTTTCAATTTTTATCAGAGGACATTTGTTAAAGAATTTTACAGATTTAATAAATGTTAAACTACAGTTGAAAAGAGGGACGTGATCATATAAGATTTGAGCCACGCAATTAATATAAAAACAAAAAGGAGGAGAAGCTGAAGAAACGGAAAGGTTTCCAAAGGATCAAAAATGGAGAGGGGCTCTATCTCACAGCTCACCAGCGCCCTCGCGTCCAGCCCAACCCTTTTCACCCTTAGGCTGCCTTAACACAGAAAAAACAGAAGTTTCTGTTAGAAACAATTTTCGGTTTTTAGGTAACTTCAACATCTCTATTAGGGATTAACTGCAACTCAAGACTATCAAATAATAGTCTAAAACTGACTTCTATTCAACGTGTTACAAAAACAGGTAAATTGATTTGAAACAATATTTAAAAGTGAGTTTTAATTTTATTTGAAAGTATAGAAGAAGTATAGATTTGGATGGATAATACCACCTTGACAATTTGATATTAACTCATTTCGATTCTAATACACAGGGTAATAAATACATTGTACGAAAAGTAAATGTTTTCATAGACAATATTCGCGATAATATATACACTTTTATTTTCTTCTTCTTCTTCTTTTGTTTCAATGACATCTTCTATTAACAAACGTTTAGTAATACGATTAGAATTTGGGTACATAATTCATGTTTTACTTCTGATGGTTTTGTAGAAGAAGTTCATCTGTCAGACGACACAGTGGGAATGATGATAAAAGAGGAAACAACGGAGGGCATCATGTTGGTTAAAGAAGTCATGGAACGATAGAGACAGAAAAGACTCCTAATCTCCTAAAGAAAAACTCAACAAGTGCTTTGCAGAAAATCTTCTAAAATTCATCAAAATCAGAATTAGAACTCCTAATGAGACTAGTCTCCTAAAGAGATTTAAGAGGATAGGCTAAGGCTCTATTGATGTTAAAATTCAACAAGAGCCTTGCAGAAGATCTTCTAAAACTGATCATTTGCTCAAGGGTCGCTATTATCATCAGCACAAAATAGGTTTTCAACCTAATTGGAGGGAGAATAGGGTCACAAAACTTAGGTGCCAACTCTCGTACCACTGTTTAGGCTCATCGTTTAGAATAGAAGCAATAGCTTCTTTCCTAGAATGATCAAAGAAAAGAAATATCGGGGGCGCAATAATTGCACAACGAAAGAAGCTCCAGTTTTTTCTGTGTAATATAAATAAGATAAATACTATTGAAAAACGATTTACGCAGGTCAAAGAGGAATAAATGGAACGAGAGGATTAAATCTAGGTATGTTAGCAAGACACTTGCTGTTAGAGCAGTAAGAAGCTGTGGGTGATCAGTGTGGTTGTGGTGGACGCCCTCTGGGTGTCTGGGAGGCAGAGAGAAATGCTCGCCTTGGTGTGTGCGGACGTGCTGATTCAGGATCGCCTTCTGACGGAAGTGTTTTCCGCACTCCGGACATTGGTATGGCTTCTCACCCGAGTGGATGCGCAGATGCTGATTGAGGATGGCGCGTTGTCGAAATGTACGTTCGCAATAGGCACAAGCGTACGGCTTCTCATTAGCGTGTATACGTAGATGTTGAGTAAGATGGGACTGTTGACGAAATCGTTTGCCACACTCTGGACATCCATAAGGCCGACTGTCCGTATGAATCCTCTCGTGTTGTAATAATGTTGATTTTTGTTTGAAATCTTTACCGCATGTTAAACATTTAAATAGACGCAAATCACTGTTTGCACCTTTGCCCGATTTGCCATTTTGTTGGACAATATCCGGTAATCCAGTTCCCATGTTTGGTGCACCTGGACTTGTATATTGATGTGGATCAAGACCAGGCCCACCATCACCTTGACCGAGTGATGTGAGCATAACACCTGGTTGTTTTAGATAATGTAACGCTGAGAAACCACCGGGTGTGAGCATGTGTGGTGGTACAGATGGTGAAGGATGTGGCCTAGTTTCTTTGAAATAGTGCTGGGGATATTGTTGTAATTCTCCTGTACCAGGGAAACAATCAGTGCGATCGACTTCATGGGGCGTTAATTGTTGTTGAGGTGAATGATCTTGAGGTTGTGGTTGCTGTTGTTGAACCTGTTGTTGCTGCTGTTGTTGTTGTTGCTGCTGCTGTTGCTGCTGCTGTACCTGTTGTTGAGCCTGTTGCTGTTGTTGTTGCTGCTGCTGTTGAGATGTTTGCTGACCGGATTGAATATCTTCATCGGGTGGTGTAAGGGCTTGAGGTTCAGGTGGCGCCGAGGGATACGGCGAAGGTACAGGTGAAGCAAGAGAAGGCGGTGGGCCACTCTCTCCTTCGACTGGAGGACCACAGGCCTGCTGTGGACTACCAGACGAAGAGGAACCTTGTTGTTGAGGCTGTTGTTGAGGATAAAGTCCACCGTCTTGGAGAGATCCCGGACCAGGTCCCCACTGGCCTTGGGGTCTCTCCATATTGTCCTTGTACAATACGTATGGCGCGCCAGTATCTGCAATCACAAGACGAAAAGAACATTCAATAATTTATCATATAACTTTGATATTTACAAAATTATAAATAAATTATAATAGTCCCAAATAAATCTCAAATCAGAACGAAATAAAAAACAATTTTCTCCATTGCCTGGAGGATATAATAATAATTGCTCTTAGTTTTGTTTTATTAGCTCTCCATAATGGAGAACATGCGTACAGTGCTTTCTCTCTAATTAAGACATTGCTATTCCACGAGCTAATCGTAGAGTGAACGATGTGCTGTTGAGAATTCTGTTGAAGCAAAATACACCTTGGTATTAATAACGAACCGTTACGATATTATGTTAATACTACATTTCCATCAGACAGCGTGACGTTTTTTTAGTTCATTATGATACTTTTAAAAAAAAATCATGTCTTTTGTTATATGCAAAAATTGTTTTCTGAAAAAGACTAAGATTTATTTGAGACACATAATATTAAGATTCTTTTATTACGATTCCCATTTATTTATTTTTTGTTAACGAAAATGAGAGAAAGAAGAGGAAATTCCGGTTTTTCTATTTCCCCGCGCATTTAATTTTTGGTGTGTATGATATGGGCTTACCCTGTGAGATGCAGTACATGATTTGTCGAGGCACCTTGAGCCCGGCCGCGAGGCAAGCCGCGAACGAGGCGGAGAAGTTTATAGCCATCTTCGCGAGCTGTCCCCCTCATCCGTGGCTCTTCTTTCCAACCACTATTATCACTAGCTACCCCTTTTTCCCGCCCCAATTGACCTAGCCTGCGGAAAAACATCACACTGTCAAATATCCTTCACCAAAAAACAACAAAAAGGAAAGCACAGTTTGCAGAAAGAGAGAGATAATACGACACCGACCTACTATATGCCACCAACAGTCTCCCTTCATTGATTTTTGGACACTCTCCAGGACAATATAAAAAAAAATTATTTCCAAAGCGTGGATTGTGAAACAATCCAAGATATAGAAGGGATTATGGTATTAATTGCAAGTGAAGAGTTTATTATCAAAACTTGAATAATTGTTTGCTCTTTATTAATGTATAATTAATTACTATTTAGAAAGTTTATCCAATTTAATTGTTATAGTTTTTCAAATGAGTGAATGTCAATTATTTGGAATTAACTCCATTATGTTAGTTCTTCATTTTCGTACATTTCATTTTAACGTTGATGACCTTTATCTACAGCAGAGAATCTGTTGAAGAAATACCTAATTCGACGTATGGATAATATTGATGATTGTAACGAGACAGCTCAACCATAAACTATACAATGATTGATGACTTAACATTGATGACTCTTAACAATCAGGTACATACGCGCAAAAATAATTTCCCAACTCACAGAATCAGATAAACACATCAAATATGTAGTTTCTACAGTCTAAATCTGTAAATTCGTTGGTCAGTGAAGAAAGATGTCACCTACAATTAGAACATCTATTAAGGACATCTATAGGATAAATGTCGGTACTTCAATTCAACTGTAACCTAGATGGCGCAGCAGTTTCTGTAAATTTCTCAGGATATTTTTTTCCGTTACAGCGTTCCTTAGTCTTAAATTCTATTTTCAGTATCTATTGATTAATTTATATTAATTATTCATCTTTTTAATTATTGCAAAAGATTTGCAGAATAAATATGTTAAATTTTAGTTAATTAACATTGTTTGGAGGAAAGAATTAACGAACTTGTGCGAGATGAGAAGTTAGAAGAAAGGTATTTAGGGTGAGACGAAAGGGGATCAGTGACCACTACCTTAAATAGACTATATATATATGTAGTTTTGAAAAGCCATCAACTTTGATCGTCGATATCTCAAGCTGGATAAGATTGAACTTTTTTTGTGGTCAGTTCGATCATCTCCACGCGATATCTTAAGACTTGGGAGTTACTTTCATTTCTATATATATACAAAAGAAACAAAGAAGTGATGTATTCGACCTTGAAAGGGACAGAAAGAAAGAGAGAGAAGAAGGTATAAGTGACCACCTTGAGCTGATCTTTAATCCTTTCATTTGGCTCTATCTAATTTCTTAAGAAGAAGAAGAAGATTGACATATCGAGTCGTAAAAAACGAATTCATATGATTTAAAAGTCTCTCTGTATAAATATATTTCTAAAAAGTTAAAACTTTTTCTTCTTTTTCATATCGCTGTTATAACATAATGATGAAAGAGACATAAAGGAGACATAAGTAATATAAAAAAAAAATTTTCTTAACATCCCTGTAAATTAAAATAAAAGAATTCTTTATCTTTAAGAAAAGTGAATCTTATTGGCATCAATGTATGAGGGAGGTGTTAAAATAATTTATTTACTCTTCAAAATGAAGAGAAAGGGAAACATTCTTGTTGTTGGTTGCTGCGGCTTCTGCCAGAAGAACTCTTGAACTTGACCGGATTGAATAATGGCACCACTTAGGGTAAAGTATTAAGCGATAAACTGCGCGCGCAATTTTAAAAAGGAAAAGTATTTCAATCAAGAAATGTAATTGAAAAATATTTTTATTTCCCTTTTAAAAATAAATTTTTTTTTTAGAAAAAAATTTATTTATAAAAGGGAAATAACTGAATGAAAGGTTTGAGAAAATACATATATGTTATACTGTATATATGTTTAATGAATGAAAGCCTAGCGAAGGACGTTCGTAGTACTAGAAATAAATAGAGGAGGAAAAGTAGACAGGGAAAGAGTTAAAAGGAGTGGGGAATATTGCCGACCTTGCTAAGAATGTAAGTAAACTTGTCTACGTAACTATAGGTAGGTTAAAAGGTTCTCGAAAACTTGTCGTCGTTAATGATGACTTCGAGTATAGAACTTCTATATATTCAATATAGAGGATGCCGCATCATGAAAACTTAAGTCACATATTTCTTGAAAATGAAAAATTTTTCAACACGACGAAAGTAAATTATTTAAAAATTATTACTCTTATTATTTTTTCGTAAGATGTAAAAAAAATTGGGTATATACTTAAAAATATCTTCTTATTTCTATTGAAAGATCAAACTTTCTTTTGATTTGCATCAAAGTCCTGACTCTATAATATTATAATTTCTTCTTTTTATAGACACAGTAAGAAATAAAATTAGAAATTTTTATGCTAATTGTATATTAGATTTAAAAAAAGGTAGATTAAAAAAAAAACAGAAACCAATACCTGTCGAAATACAAGTGCCATTTTTGTAAAGGAGCTTTTTTTGCAGTACTTAAGAACCAAATATGGCGTTGAAAAATGTTGGTATCATGTTACGAGGTACAATGTCGACTTCTCTCTGGATAAGTGTCAGAAAAGTCAAGAAAGAAGAACGCGACTTTAGGACTGGCAACGAGTATAACGCTTTTTTCAGCTTTACTTTCCCCCCTCGACGTTATTTTTAACGTCAACGAACAAAGCAGGAACTGAACGTTTGCTAAAGAATAACGAATATTTCATATGAATATTTCGTTAAGTAAAAAAGTTTTCCAAAAATCTTGAATTCTTTAACATAATTAATCTATAAAAAAAACCAAAAAATGAATTTTAATTTCAGGTGAAAAATGTCAACAGGAAAATATAAAATTTATGCCAGTTAAAAAAAAGAAGAAAGAACAAAAATGCGTTTTGATTGCTGATTCAGTGGAAAATCCCCTAAAGCAATGACGTGGACTGGAAGATTCAATTAAAAAAAAAAATAATTTCAAGTTTATACATGAATTATTATATTATTATAATATGTACTCAATAGTATAAATGAATTACGTTAATTTATTAAATATTTTTTCGCTGGATTATACTTTTGATATTGTTTTATTGTTTGACGGTAGTAAAAGTTTATTTTCTATAAATATAATCCAACACAAGGTGGGAATGAATTAAAAACAAAATAGTAGTCTGTCAACCGGTCTAGTTTATCTGCGAAATGCGTCACTTTACTTTCTTGTCGTCATCCGCATTGTTAGTGACAACAGCTTCTTCTCTGTTTGTACCAAAACGAATATATGTAACCGGTTTTTTTTTTCCTTTTTTTTATCTATAGTGGAAAAATAATGTCTTGTTTGCATTCCGTAGAAGTTTTTTTTTAGCATTGGAGAACTGCGTAAGAATCACATAAGACTGCTAATTAGTCGTTTCTTTGGTATGAAATTTGACTGTTCTTTCTTTATAAACGAAAACAACATTTTACAAGAAGAATATATCATTAAGGAATTATGTTAATTTTCAAATAGCGCAAATATTTCCAAGAGATCAAGGAAAACAATAAACTTAAACTAATAGTAACTCAAAAAAAAAAATTTAAAAACAAAAATCATTTCTACTTTTTTCCCCTTGTACTATTGAGAATTAATTTTTCAAGATGCTTAAGGTCAACGTTGAAGAAGGCGGTAACATATTCTGATAAGATAAAAATGATGAACTTACGAATTTGAGTGTTATAATTTTTTGGCATGCTTTATACAAAACGGAAAACGTATAAGAAAAATGTCCACAGAATTTTTTTTTAAGAAAAAATTTAATTGAAAAAAACTGTTAAATTTAAACAAAAGATGATAAATATCTTTTTACTTAGAACTTTTATTTTTCTTTAAACATTCTCATATAAATTTTTATTCTGAGTTTTGTAAATTTTGCAAGACTTAATTTTAAAAAAACAGAATTAGAAAAAGGTTTTTAAAAAAAAAAAAATATTGTATTTCTTAAAATAAAATAACTGTTAAAATACAGTGAGAGCTAGACGTTAACATTTTAATGACAGTCGAAAGGTTTATCAGAAGTTTGACCTCGTCTTATTGTATGTGCAAGAGATGAATATATATATAGTCGCACATAGTGCTTTATCCACAGTTTAGGTTTCCTTTCTTTGTGCCCTTATCAAAAGTTATTTTAGTCAGAAAATCGAAAATTTTTATTGGAAACATTTTTTTACTTAAAATTTTTTACAGCATTTTATAGTTTTTAGCAGTTGTACTTTATTTTTGGGAAAAATAAAGGTTTTCTATTTCATTT